TTTCTTTTTTTTTCCCCTCCCTTTCTATTGGAATACGCCCACCCACATCTGCTTGGCAAAAATTGTCCCCCACCCTAAGACAAAGATTAGACAGGAGGACAATGTAGGTGATCCTATTTTACACATTCATCAGACTTTTTTTTTTTCCATAAGTCTTCCAGAGCGACAGGGTCAGTCCCTCTCCCGGCCTGCAGGAGAGGCCAGCGGTCCCCAAGTCAGACGTTTCTATTTTCAGCTCCCCGAGTCCAGAGAGCAGTAACCTCCACCTCGCCGAGGGCCGCGCTGCCAACCCGCCAGCAGCACAGGGCCTGCTGCCTCTCTGCCTTCCATTTCCATAAATTTACATCGAATTTGTGCTGAATCATATCCCCCACCCCCCGCAGAAGCAAAGAAATACATTATCAATAAGTACAACAGATGTGAATAATCTGAGAGTGATGACTTTCCCTGTCAGTTAACTCTTTCCATGTGCCACCCCCCGCCAGCTGGGTAGGGTTTCTCCCACGCCCAGGTGCCCAGGTTTTCAGCTCTCCTCCAAGGTTCTTTATGTTGAGGCCTATCCTCAGGAACCCCAGGCCCTGCCTCTCCTTCTGTCTCTCGGCTCCCTCCTGGTCATCCTCCTTTCCTCCTGACACCCCAGTCCTCCTCCCAGAACCCTGCCATCTGCCAGCTGTCGAAGGGGCCCTTCTGCCTGCCCCTTCCCACCGCCTGCCTCCGGCAATGCCCAAGCCAATCACACCCACGCTTGAGCCCCTTTAGGATGACAATTGCGGGTACCCGGCCTGCCAGGCTGTCATCAGCCCCTCTCAAGTCATTTGAGCACCTCTGCAGTTCAGCGGGGAGCGCAACTTCCTTCCACTCCCTGCTGCCCGGCGGATTGGCAGCCAGCAGGGCTGGAGCGGGGCAGAGCGCAGCTGATTGTGGGCTGCTGGGCAGGAAGGACTTGGTGGCACTGCCAGAGGACCTGGGGGTTCAGGGGGCTAAGAGAGAGGGAGGATGCCCTGGGTCAGCACCCGGCCAGAGTTCCCCATCTGCCTCTCTGGTGTCTGGCTGCTGGCCATGGCAGAGCATCTCTAGGACCTGGGAAGAGAGGGAGGCTTACCTTCTCCAGAATTGAGGCCAGTGGCCCAGGGGACCTCCGGGCTCAGGACTCTGCGGGAGGCCTGGCTGCGGTGCACACAGGGTCCTGCAGTCCCCTGACCCTGGTTAAAACCAAGAGCAAAGGAAATCATTTAGCAAAGATGAGGGCTCCTGGCAAGACCTGTCAAAATGGCCTTCCCTTGACAAGAGCAAGAATTGGGGACCTTGGCCTAGATAGAGCTAATTAATATATATATATGTACGCCATTATAAACCACAGTCATTATAAATCATTTTTTCCCCAGATTGGTTTTCTTAATTCAGGCAATAGAAAAGTGACTGGGGAAAACAAAGTGGCCATGAATATTGCCCCAACTATACAGCTCAGGGCAACGCCGAATCAAAATCTCCACTGGAGATTTGCTTAGTTTCCTTTAATGAGAACTCTGACAGCCAGAATTTTGCTTGGGCAGTCAGAATTTGAACTGAACATACCGTCTGGAGAAGCCATATCAAAAGCTTTAGGGCTTTCCCGTGTGTCTGGGGCTGTTGGGACTTGGCCAGAGTCATCCTTTAAGTCAGTGGAGAACCCATAACGAGAGGCTTGGGTTTCTAACAATAAGTTTAAATCATCCTTTCTTTCCCAATCTCTCCAGAGATTTTTGTGTTTTCATCAGTATGTGCTGGTTCAATTTCTTAGATTAAGCTATTTTGGAGTTTCCATGTCTAAAACTCTCTCAAACTTTTAAAAGTGAAAAGCATCACTCAAAAGCATCTAAGTACTTTCTTCTAACACTATAGGTGCGTATAAATAAATCAATAAAACTGGCCCTGGGGCTGTGAATCTATATGGAAAAACTGGGTCCCTAGAGATGATTTTTCAGAATGCTAAGAAGTTGTGAAAATAGAGGCTAAAGCCACAAAGTTTCAATACTTTGTGCCAGGGCGGCAAATTTAAGACAAGGGCACCTGGTTTTAAAATGGTCCTATGCAAACAGACTCTCGGATGGGACATTTAATGTACTGCTTTTATCAGAGATAAAGATAGTTGGTGAGTGGTTTTATTTTTTTCTTTGAAAAAAGTTAACCACAATATAATTAGCTTTTGTTTTTGTCAGCCTGGGCTGCTGTTGACGAGGTATCTAGAGGCCTTTTGGTATAGGTGCCTAAAAGCTTAAACTGCATTTAATTATTATTATTACTCAATGTCAGGCTACACAAATGAAAAGAGATAAAAAAGAATCGCTTGCAGCTACATTGCCTTGGTTTGTGATCTCATCACATCTCACAAGCTAAGAGGTTCGAGCAGGCACTTGGGGCGTGAAACCTCGAAGGAAAACCCAGGCAGCTAGAGACGCCATTTCAACTGAGCTGAAAGTTTCTCCACCTGCTGGGAAGGGTAGAGGCATGCCACTCTTTGATTTTCCTCCCCATCTTTATTTTTAAATACCTTAATAACTGTCTGACTTATTTCAGGGCAAGAAAGCAAATAGGGGAAATGGAGTCAAAGAGAGAGTTGTCTTAAAGGTATATAGTCTCTGATGTGAAGATTTCTTCACTCCCAGCTGTTCATTGATTGTCTGTCCTGCTGCTTGAAAGATCAGTCAAGGCTCCAAAGCAGTAGCCGCACATGGTAAAAGGTTCAGCTAAATGTATAACTGGAATGGGCTTTCCCACCTGAATGCCAGCAGAGAGCAAGGCACAGACAAGAAGGCTCAGAAGACAGATGGATCAAGTTCTGTCCACTCTTCCTGCAGTCTATTTCATAGACAGGTCAGAATGAAACCAGATGGTTTGCCAGAGGGCAATATACTGGCAGACAGTACCTTGCTTTTTAGGCACGAGACATCAGGCTGTTAGGAACAAGTGCTTGGCACTGAGTTAATTAACTCTAGACATTCAGCTCAGGGATGACCTTCTTTCCACCTCCTTAGATGAAAAACAGAATGAGTCAGGTGGCCTGGAATGGTCAGAAGACCAGAAGCTTTAGCTGCATTCTAGCTCCTTCTTTTTCTCTTGTTCTCTAGAGCTGTGGACCCCAAACTCCGGGCGGCAGCCCAGTACTGGTCTGTGGCCTGTTAGGAAATGGGCCACACATCACTGCCTCAGCTCCATACTACCACAATGCTCCACTCCCCCACCTCCGGTCTGTGGAAAAATTGTCTTCCATGAAACCAGTTTCTGGTGCCAAAAAGGTTGGGGACCTCTGCTCTAGAGCATTAGTTTGCAAACGCTCCAAGATAAGGATCATGGTCTGCAGTGTTCTTGAACTTGCCCAAGATGAGTACAGTTGTATACAACAGGTGCAAAAATCAATGTACTGACTGGTAGACTGGCTCCATCTCTTAGCCCTTGGCCTATCAGAGTTCATTGTACAATCTTCTTTAGATGAGGACCCAATATATTATGATGCCAGGGACTGTTGCCTTTTTAGGGGCTGCCAGGGAGAGTTCAGGCTATAAAGGTCTTTCATCAATAGTGTCATCATCTGTATCAGTTATCTGTTGATAACACAGAAAACTACCCCGAAATTTAGTGGCTTAAACTACAACTATTTATTTATAATAGTTGGTGGTCCTTTGGTTCAGCAAATTGGGCAAAGCTCAGCTGGGTAGTTCTTCTGCTGGGCTCAGCTGGGCTCACTCATGCACTTGTGGTGAGCTGGGGGTCAGTGGCCTCACTCACATATCTGGTGTTGGTTGGCTGTTGCCTGGGAGTCCTGTATTATCCAGCATGCTATTCTGGGCTTGTTTCCATGGTGGTGATCACAGGTTCTCAAGAGAAGAAGCAAGAATAAGTCTCATTGTACAAGTGCTTTACAAGCCTTTTTTGTAGCACATGTGCAGGTATTGCTTAGGCCAGAGCAAGTCACATGAGTGAGCCCAGTGTCAAGGTTAGTGATAATGGCAAGGACAAGGAAGGGGAATTATTGCTGCCATTTTACAATCTACTATGCCAACAAGACAAGGCCAAGCATAGAGTTCGATATTTCCAGCTACAGATGTGATACCTCATTTTCAGGTTTCTGAGATTCTGGAGCCAGAAGTCCTAGTTGAATCTCTGTTTCTCCACTTTTCAGGCCTCAGTTTCCTCATCTGATAAATGGGGATAACATCTATCTCACAGGGTTGATCCAGGATAAACAGGGGCTAAAGATTATACATAAATCCTGGCTGTGATGTTTCCACAACTGTAAAACGTGTTCACACCATCTCAGCCTACCTGCTCACCTCCTTAGGTAGTGTTTCTACAAGTAGGGAAAGCTAGTTGTTGCTGGTGGTCCATGAGAGGATTTGTACGTGGCCCAGGTGCACTACTTTGAATAGTATTTGACTCGTGTGAGATTCACCTTCGCTCTGTTAATTCTTTCAGTTCTTCTTAGGAGAAAGCCTCAACTGGATGCCAGAATGTCTTCAACACACCTCTCTCGACTCATGCTAAGCAACACATAGAGCCTTTGGCCCTATTTAAAATCCAATAATGCTTCATTTTCAATTATTAGATTTGCTTTCTATCCGTGACAGCTGATACTGTAAAAAAATATAAGCCAACATTAGTTTTATGAACAATGCTAAGTACATATGCGGTTCATTCATTTATGCATTCAACAAATATTTGTAGCGCACCTACTGTGAGCCAGGATGGCACCAAACATTCACCCGCGAACAAAGGCACTCCCTGCCTGGTAGGGCTGACATTCTAGTGGCGGGGGTCGTGACCGTGCGCGGGGCATAGCTGGATTTGGGGATTTGCTTCTTTGGGGGGACACAGGCCTGCCGCGGGGCGGCGGGGCTCGGCGGCCGGGCCTTGGCTGTGGCTGCGGCCCGGCCCCTCCTCCCCTTCCTCCCGCGGAGGCTGACGTGGAGTCAACAGCGCGGGCGGCCGCGGGAGGCGGCGGCGCGGCGGCTCGGAGGCGCCGGGCCCTCTCGGGGCCGCGCGGGGCCCGGGCGGCGGCGCGACGGGAGGAGGGGGAGGAGGAGGAGGAGGAGGAGGAAGGAGGACGTCTATGCAGGCGGCCCGCGCATGGAGGAGGAGGAGGCCATGAACGGCGACCGGACCGAGAGCGACTGGCAGGGGCTGGTGAGCGAGGTGAGGCCGAGGCGCCGGCCAGGCGGGAAGGGCCGGCCGCGCAGCTCCGGGCCCGCGTCCCCAGCAAGGCCGAGGCGGGGCCGCGACGCGCGGGGGGCGCGCACCCGGTGGCCGCGGCGCGCTGCCCCGCGCGACCCGCCAGGTGCGCGGTTTCGCCCTCGCTCCCCGCTCTATGCAGGCGCCACTTTCTTCCGCGCCATCTGCTGCCAGCCTTTGGGGAGGGGCCTTCCCCCGGGCAGGGTTTGGCCCCGGATTGGCGAGAGACGCCCCGAGATCCGGGAGGAGAGGGAGCCAAGCCCCTCCCGCCTGCCCGCTCCCACTGCCGCGAGCCGGGCGATTGGCCGCCTGGGACTGAGGCGGAAAGGTGGTGCCCGGAGGAAAATTCGAGTCCTGGGGCAACACCTGGACCAACCGGAATTACCTGCCGGGGTGGTTCGGGTGGGGGAGGTCCGGGTTCGTTCCTTCACTTAGTTCACTCAACACGTGTTTCCTGCTGGCCTGCTATGCCAAGGTGCGGGGGCCACTTACCGAAGGAGTGGAACACAGGTGCGGGAGTGACTGGACTTCCGGAAGCAGAGAACACCAGTGCCCCCACTCCCAAACCGTGTTGTCATAAACATGCCCTGGGGGCCGCTTCAGAATCCTGCTATTCCCTCTTCAGTCCACCCTAAGAGTTTGTTGGCCTGAGAGGAGCTGCTGGCTTCTCTCTGCTACAGGGAGTGCTCGTGTCTCCCTCTCACAGGTGAGCTGTCCTGATTTGCCACCGTTTGTGCTGGCAGTTCCCGGTCTTATTCATGCCCACCATGCCAGGGAAGTTCTCCCTTCTCTCCCTCCTGAGAACCATCCTCCACCCCAAGGCCAACCTGGAACTTCTTTTTCTTTACTCCGGTGCACACAGTGAAGAGTGTATTGATTTGCTCTTTTCCTTCCTTTGTGGGTGTGGGAACAGAAACCGTCTACTTTCTCCTTTAATGGTTTTCTAGGTCTCCAGCCGAGTCTCATAACAGTACTTAATGTCCAGTGTGTTCAGAGCATGACATTTCTGAAGAGGAAGGATATACCGTAGCTTCTACCCTAAACTAGTTTAGTTTGTTTAGTATCGGTCTAGTAGTTGAAAGCTCTCCTAACTGTACGGTATCACGATATATTGTATTGCAACCTGTCTCCACTTTCTCAAGCTGTCAGGCTTTATGTCAGGGGACACATTCTCTGGGAACCTTGTCTCTGGGCCCATCAAGAGTGATACTTAGTAGTCAAGGAGGCTGGAGATGGTTCTCCTTAAAAGTCCAATGTTGGGCCCCCAAATAGCAACAGAATATTCACTACCCCAACAAATGCATAGCAAATGCCTCTTAGGAGTCAGGTATATTGTTAGGTGCTTGGGATTCAGCGGTGAACAAGACAGAGAACTCCTTTGCCCTAAATGAACTCCTAGGGCTCATGATGTCGTCTGGGAGGAAAATCAGTCCATAAACAATAAGAGCATATTAAAGGATGGAAGGTATTCAAGTGCTCAGTGGCATGGGATGTCCCTGATGTGCTTACCTTCTTCACCGTGCACTGACCACGTTGTATTTGAACAGTGGGTTTCCTTACCAGGCTGTGTGTTTTGTTTGGCTCTTTATTTCCAGTGTCTACACACTGAGCTCCATACATAGCAGGTGCTCAATAAATGCTTGGAATAAGTCAGTTGATCCTGAAGTGGGTCTTTCGGCATTTTCCTGCCCATCTCAGTGGAGTTTCTCCAGAGTAATGCCTTCTTGCCTTCCCACAAACATTCATTAACACCTAGGATGTGCAGGGCACACAACCAGGGGCCTTGAGGGATGTGAAAATGAATTCAACCTGTTTCCCACCTTAATAATAACTAACGGCTATTTCTTGAGTGCATCCTCCCGTGTTAAGCATTTTACACGGCTTCATTCTCACATGAGGTAGGAATTTTTTCTTATTTTACAGATAAGGAAACTGGCTCAGACAGGCTAAGGAACTTGCTTAGAGCCTCACAGCGGGTGGGTAGAAGAGGCAGGATTTGAACCCTGGTCTGTCTGACTACTTGCTTGGGATCACTAGGCCACACTTTGTATTTTAATCATTGGCTCATCTGTCTGTATCTCCTACTGGGACGGCAGTCTCCCCAAGGAAGGAGACCATGTCTGTGAGTCCCCAGCAATTGGATCAGTGTTTCTTAAAGTATGGCCTACAGATCATTTTGGGTGGCTGTGAAAAATGCAAGTTTCTGGATCCTTCCCCAAATTTACTATAGTGTGTTCAGTTGCCCCCCCCCTTACAATACATCCAAGACCTAATTCCCAGTAGCTGCGAATGTGACGTTATTTGGAAATAGGGTCTTTGCAGATATAATCAAGTGAAAGATCTTGCAATGAGATCATATGGATTTAGAGTGGGCCCTGAATCTGATGACTGTTGTCCTTACAAGAGAAAGAGAGAGAGATCTGAGAGGCAGAGACACAGGGAGAAGGCTGTGGGAAGACGGAGACACACAGGAAGACCACTTGAAGGCAGAGGCCGAGACTGGAGTGATGCAGGGGCAGGCTGAGGAGGGCCGAGGGCTGCTGGCAGCAGCCAGAAGCTGGAAGAGGCGCAGAACAGATTCTGCCTTAAAGCCTCCAGAAAACAGGAACCCTGCTGACACCTTGATTTTGGACTTCTGGCCTCCGTAACTGTGAGAGAATAAATTTGTGTTGCTTTAAGCCACCTAGTTTGTTACAGCAGCCATAGGAAATTAACGTACCTACTGCTGGGAAGTGCCTGTGGTTGCAGCTCCCAAGCGATTCCCCACCCACTCAGGTTTGGCTGGCAGGAGTTCCGTGGGTGTGGATCAGGGCTGGTACCCAGCCAAGTAGGATTCAAGGAAGCGTGTGGTCAGTGGCTGTGGTGTTACAAAGTAATCTGGGGACCAGCAGAAGCAACTGGGGAAGACATCACACACATCTAGCCTGGATGGCATGGGTTTTTGGGGGCTTGCATCTATTTCTGCAGAATCCCGGTTTCCGCCGCCCACCCCGGATCCTCACTCCATTGCCCTTCCTGCCCAGAGCCCTGTACTCTGTTTCAATGAGTTTGCTTCCTTGGCTTGCCTCCAGGAAGCAGTTTTCATTTAAAATGATCCCACAGAGATCAGTTTTATTTTCATATTTTTAGTATAACAAGCTGAAATTACAGGCTTCTCCCAGGCCCTGAAGTAAACACGCCCATGCGTGTGAAGGAAGCATGGCTGATGTTCTACATAGGAAATTAAATGTCAGGGCAGGGGCAGATGTTCTTCTTGTCACCACCCGAGGTGAGCTCTCAAAATTGGAGAAATCTCAAAATGCAGCCATGCAGGCAATCAATAACTTCATATATCCAGGATAAAAATCCTAGTCATGTCTCAGCCTACCACCCCTATGACAGACTATCCCTAATTCACTTTCACCATTTGAATTTTGCTTAATTAATTACATAGCAATCAGTCTCCTCTTCCTTGAGCCATGAGGCAGAAGACAGTTAACTGGGCCTCTGCCCAAAGTAGAGCCACCATTTTTTGGAAGGGAGAGGTTGAATAGGTGTATAACCTGGCCCCATGGTTAACTAAGATAAAGACCCAGCTTTGGGTCTCAGTTGTTGACTTAGTCTCTGAAGATACTCAAAGAGGACTGGGGGTTAGTCTTGTCTCTGTCTCTTTCTTGGTGCAAATGATCAAAAACTCAACCCAAAGTGGTTAAGTTCAGAGGGAATTTACTGGCTGATGTGGTTTGAATTGTGTGCCCCAAATGATATGTTCAAGTCCTAACTCTCTCTCCCACCCACAACCACACACACCTGTGCATATGACTGTTTGGACCTAGGGTCTTTGCTGATGTAATCAAGTCACAATGAGGTCATCCTGGGTGGGCTCTGGTCCACTGACTAGTGAGTGTCCTTATAAGAAGAGGAAAATTTAGACACAGAGATGCACGGAGGGAAGACAATGTGACGACAGAGGCAGAGATTGGAGTTATGCAACTGGAAGCCAAGGAACACCAAAAGTTGCCGGCAACCACCAGAAGCCAGGGAGAGGCAAGGAAGAATCCTTCCCCTAGAGCCTTATTGGGGAACATGGCCCTGCCAACACCTTGATTTTGGACTTCTAACCTCCAGAACTTTGAATTAGTTTCTGTTGTTTTAAGTCACGCAGTTTGTGGTCATTTGTTACACCAGCCCTAGGAAATAATACATGAATACAATGAATACAATACATGAATACAATAATAATTCCATGGTAGGACTGGCTTTGGGCACAGCTGGATTCAGAACCCAAATGGACGGTTTCTCCCCGTCTTTGAGTCTGCTTGCTGTCTGGCTTTAGTCTCAGCCTTCCATCCTCACAAGTGTAAGTCCAGAGGGGAAGATGAGACCCTTGTTTAGCAGATCCCATAAAATCATAGGATGCTGCCTTTTAACCCACTTAGATTGCTTACCTACCCTGCAAGAAACTGCCCAGGAATGTAGTAATCTGATTGTTTTAGGGCTGGAGTTGTGTCCGGAGCCCTACCCAGGCCACACAGACAGAGTAGGCATGGGGTAGACCCCCAAATAATATCAAGGGGCTATTTTCCAGAAGAAGGGGAATGGACGTTGAGGGAATCACTGCACGAGCAACTTCTCCGAGCCTCATTTTTCTCATCTTTAAATAGGATAATAAAACTACCTACCTTGTGGGTGCTATGATTGTGAGGATCCAAGCAAATAACGCTTGTTCATGCTTACCCCTCTGCCTCGCAGGGAACCGTAGGACAGTGAGCATGAATCTCAGGACACAAACTCTGGTGCTCACAAAATGAAAATTTTATTTTACTGTAATGTATTAATTTTGATTATAAGCTTTCATTGTTTGAGTGGTGGAAATGTAACCTGGATTGAAGTCACACCTCTCCCTTTCCCTGTATTTGTATTTAAATTGTAGGAGGCTTATATAGTACTGTCATTGGCAGGGGTGCTGGAGTGGGCTATTCTCA